TGCAATCGAAGAGACAAAACTTCAGTAGGAACGCAGAGAAAAAAGAAATTTGAAGAAAAAAATGGTGCTTACAAAATAATAAACGTTAGTCAACGCAGTAGAGCCGTAGAAAAGATGTCCATCCTCCTACGAAAACTGCAGGAAGCGAGTCATGCTTGTACTGCGAAAGGTTATCCTGGGCTGGCCCACGTTTTTGTGTTTGCCAGCGTCCAACCCTCCGGTCAGCAGTAGAGTGACCTAAAGTTTTAATCGTTTCTGTTTCGGTCAATAATTGAAAAAGAACAACGTAACTGAAAAAGTAAAAAATAAAACTGAAAATAAGCATTAAAAACAAAGAAAAACTTGGGTAACATTAGGTATGGAAGGAGAGATCTCATCACAAATGTGTTCATGGTTCAAAGTCCAGTAGTTCAGCCAAATGCTTCCAATCCAGAATTTGAGTAGACACCTTGGGGCACGGACACACCTTGGGGCACGGACACACCTTGGGGCACGGACACACCTTGGGGCACGGACACACCTTGGGGCACGGACACACCTTGGGCCACGGACACACCTTGGGGCACGGACACACCTTGGGGCACGGACACACCTTGGGGCACGGACACACCTTGGGGCACGGACACACCTTGGGGCACGGACACACCTTGGGCCACGGACACACCTTGGGCCACGGACACACCTTGGGGCATGGACATTTGAGCAAGGAACGCCAAGCTGCTAGAAGATCTGAGAAAGTCTTGTAGCCCTGTGTTGGGATTGGGGTGGACAACCCTTGTGGGAGAAAAGAGTTAAACATTTCTTCTTGTTTTATGATGTTTTTCTAGGATTCTTGTAAATCAGCATATTTTCTCCCTCACAGCTAAAACTATCCAAGCCAATGAGCTGCGGCCCATGATAACCCGTTCCTGTCTCATGATACCTGTTTGCTGAGAGGATAATTATTGACATTACTAATGCTGATCTGGCTGTGGGTGCTGAACGTCGACTTTCATGAGTCTTCGAAATTAGCATAGCTCGCAAGATATGAAAAATGATTAGAACGAGGTCATCATGAAGAGTATCATTAGCTGTAATGTTCTGATTGGTTGGAGGGATCTCCCTTCCTTAGTCCTTGTTTGTATTTAGTCCCAACTCACGGTACCATTAAACAGCTCAGTCTGTCTATCTGTGTCCTGGCTTTGTGTGTTCCCCAAAGCGCATTGAAAGGGGTCTTACGGATCATCCGAGGAGCAAACATATTTAATCCATTGCCAACAAAGGGGGGAGGAGGGAAAAAAAGGGGAGGGGGGGGGGAAAAGGGGGAGAGGGGGTAAAAAAAGGGGTGAGAGGGACGGGGGGAAAAAAGGGGGAAGAGGGGGGAGGGAAAAGGGGGAGAGGTGAGGGGAAAAAAAAAATAAGGGGAGAGGGGAGGGGAAAAAAAGGGGAAGAGGGGAGGGGAAAAAAAGGGGGGAGAGGGGGAGGGGAAAAAAAAAAGGGGGGGCGGGGAGAGGGGAGGGGAAAAAAAAAGGGGAGAGAGGGGAAAAGGGGAGAGAAAGGAGAAAGGGGAGGGGGGGAAGGGGGGAGAGGGGAGAAAAGGGGGGAGAAGAAACGGAGAAGGGGGGGAGGGGGAAGGGGGGAGAGGGGGGGAAAAGGGGAGAGGAGGGGGGAGAAAGGGGGAGAGGGGGGGGAGGGGGGGAAAACAGGGGGAGAGGGGGGAAAAAAAGGGGAGAGGGGGGGGAAAAAGGGGGGAGAGGGGGGAAAACAGGGGGAGAGGGGGAGAAAAGGGGGGGAAGGGGAGAGGGGGGAGGGGGAGGGGAGAGGGGGGGGGAAGGGGGAGAGGGGGGGGGGAAGGGGGAGAGAGGGGGGAAGGAAGGGGGGGGAGAGGGGGAAAAAAAATGGGGGATAGGGGGGAGAGAGGGGGGGGAAAAGGGGGGAGAGGGGAGGGGAAAAGGGGGGGAGGGGGAGGGGAAAGGGGGGGGCGCCCAGAGGGGGAGGGGGAAAAGGGGGGAGGATCGGGGGAGGGGGAAAAAAAGGGGGGAGGGGGGAGGGGAAAAGGGGGATAGGGGAGAGGGAAAGGGGGGAGATGGGGGGAAAAAGGGGGGAGGGGAAAAAAGGGGAAGAGGGGGAAAAAGGGGGGTTGGAGGGGGAAAAGGGGGGAGGGGAAAAAAGGGGGTCAGGGGGGAAAAAAGGGGGTGAAGGGGGGGGGAAAAGGGGGAAAGTATGGGGGGAGGGGGGGGGGTAGAAGGGGGAGAGGGGGGAAAGAACGTGGAAAGGCAAAAAAAGGGGGAGGGGGGAAGGAGAAGAAAGGGGGAAAAAGGGGGGGGGGGAAGGAACGAAGAAAGGGGAAAAAAAGGCGATGGGGGGGAAGGATAAGGGGGGGGGGGGGGAAAGGAGAAGGGGGGGGGGAGAAGGGGGGGAAAAATAGGGGAAGGGGGGGGGGGGAAAAAAGGAGGAAGGGGGGGGAAAAGGGGAAGGGGGGAAAAAGGGGGGGGTTAAAAAAAAGGGGAAGGGGGGGGAAAAAAGGGGGTAAAAAAAGGGGGAAAGGGGGGGGGGGAGGAAAGTAAAAAAAAAGGGGAAGAGGGAAAAAAAGGGGGAGAGGGAAAAAAAAGGGGAAAGGGAAAAAGACGGTCATTTGCCCCCCCTAGTATAATACTACCATGGGCTAGGAAAGCAGGAGGTATTTAAATCCAGAAGTACACCTACAGTACCAGATGTACACATTACTATAGATCCAACAACAATGAAGGGTATGTGGGGGGGGGATATTTTTCCTGAGGGTATTTCTGGCACCTACATACTTTGCTACTTGTATGAATTCAGGGATGCAGGGGCTGCACATTATAATGACACCCTGGAGTTGTTCTGCACATCCAGAACCTTCCGGCTCCCTTGTACCATTGATGGTGTGCAGACTGCTGACCACAACTTTATAGAAGCAATTTACATCACAAATAAAGTTTACATCCATTATCCTACCGAAGCCATCAAAGCCGGCATTTCTTGGAGGGAAATCATTGACCAAAAATGGATTGTCATCAACAAAGGGAGAGAGAACTACATTAAAGGGAAAACAAATTGTTAAAACCACCAATAGTCAGCTATGGATAAACTAAATCATCAGGAAGCACACAATACAGATCAGAGGACACAATGGAGAGCGCACAGGTGTGTGGGGTCAGAGAGGGAAACGGCACAGAGCGCACAGGTGATGCAAGTGTGAGGTGTAGGGATCACATAAGAGGACACAGTGTGAGGTGTAGGGATCACAGAAGAGGACACAGTGTGAGGTGTAGGGATCACAGAAGAGGACACAGTGTGAGGTGTAGGGATCACATAAGAGGACACAGTGTGAGGTGTAGGGATCACATAAGAGGACACAGTGTGAGGGTGTAGGGATCACATAAGAGGACACAGTGTGAGGTGTAGGGATCACATAAGAGGACACAGTGTGAGGTGTAGGGATCACATAAGAGGACACAGTGTGAGGTGTAGGGATCACAGAAGAGGACACAGTGTGAGGTGTAGGGATCACAGAAGAGGACAGTGTGAGGTGTAGGGATCACAGAAGAGGACAGTGTAAGGTGCAGGGATCACAGAAGAGGACACAGTGTGAGGTGTAGGGATCACAGAAGAGGACACAGTGTGAGGTGTAGGGATCACAGAAGAAGACACAGTGTGAGGTGTAGGGATCACAGAAGAGGACACAGTGTGAGGTGTAGGGGATCACATAAGAGGACACAGTGTGAGGTGTAGGGATCACAGAAGAGGACACAGTGTGAGGTGTAGGGATCACAGAAGAGGACACAGTGTGAGGTGTAGGGATCACAGAAGAGGACACAGTGTGAGGTGTAGGGATCACAGAAGAGGACAGTGTGAGGTGTAGGGATCACAGAAGAGGACAGTGTAAGGTGCAGGGATCACAGAAGAGGACACAGTGTGAGGTGTAGGGATCACAGAAGAGGACACAGTGTGAGGTGTAGGGATCACAGAAGAAGACACAGTGTGAGGTGTAGGGATCACAGAAGAGGACACAGTGTGAGGTGTAGGGATCACATAAGAGGACACAGTGTGAGGTGTAGGGATCACATAAGAGGACACAGTGTGAGGTGTAGGGATCACAGAAGAGGACACAGTGTGAGGTGTAGGGATCACAGAAGAGGACAGTGTGAGGTGTAGGGATCACAGAAGAGGACAGTGTAAGGTGCAGGGATCACAGAAGAGGACACAGTGTGAGGTGTAGGGATCACAGAAGGACACAGTGTGAGGTGTAGGGATCACAGAAGAGGACACAGTGTGAGGTGTAGGGATCACATAAGAGGACACAGTGTGAGGTGTAGGGATCACAGAAGATGACACAGTGTGAGGTGTAGGGATCACAGAAGAGGACAGTGTGAGGTGTAGGATCACAGAAGAGGACAGTGTGAGGTGTAGGGATCAGAGGACACAGTGTGAGGTGTAGGGATCAGAGGACACAGTGTGAGGTGTAGGGATCAGAGGACACAGTGTGAGGTGTAGGGATCAGAGGACACAGTGTGAGGTGTAGGGATCAGAGGACACAGTGTGAGGTGTAGGGATCAGAGGACACAGTGTGAGGTGTAGGGATCAGAGGACACAGTGTGAGGTGTAGGGATCAGAGGACACAGTGTGAGGTGTAGGGATCAGAGGACACAGTGTGAGGTGTAGGGATCAGAGGACACAGTGTGAGGTGTAGGGATCAGAGGACACAGTGTGAGGTGTAGAGATCAGAGGACACAGTGTGAGGTGTAGGGATCACAGAAGAGGACATGCGCAGGTTGAAGGGTATAACGCAGACATTTCATGTCTTACCTTTTGAATTCATTCGGTTTGGATGAAAACCCATTGGTTCAGGAATGAATGTTCCTGAAGGAGAATTTAAAAGAAAATGAATTAGAAGGACAATTCATTGTAGGGATGTATATGCAAAAAAAGAAAAGAAATAAAAGAAATGAGTTTTAATTGCTGACCAATCATACCGCTATCGGTCCCATCAAACGCAGTGTATCCGGGGAGGTACGAGGGTTCTGCAAAGGAAGAAAAGTTTCCAGAAATCAATGACACCCGGCGTGAGCCAAGGACACCACCTGACAGATCTCCTGGAACTACACGCAATCCATGTGCAAGCTACAAAACACGCAGCCACCTGTATGTATATAAAATCTTTATGCTACAACATGTATATCACACGGAGCTTCCATGACACTGAGCTGTACAGAATGCTGGGCTCTCCAAATGTCCCAGCACAGGGTGCTCACTGGTTGACCGCTTGTGTCGGAGAACCCAAACTGGGACTATATAAAGTGGGCGCCCAACAAATACATACTAAAAAAAAAAAAATATCAATCTTTATTCCCACTGAGGATCATTAAAGTCGCCCTGTAATAGAAAACTTGCCTCTCCTACTGCTTCAGACCTTCATTCCAAAGAACCTTCTGCTGTTGGCACACTTCTGGTGTGATGGACGCCTAATTCTAGGGTGAGTGCCGTGGTTTCCAGCCTCTGTCTTAATGGACAGAGTGTCAATGTACGGGTTGGTGAATCCCACCAGACCCACAGCAGGGGTCCAGAAGATTTTGTAAACACCACGGGATGAAACTAAGACATGGTCAAGCAAGACAGGTGTGAATAGACTTTTGCTGCAGACATCTTTTAGAATTTTTTTCTTTAGGAGACAACTTCTTTAAAGAACTTCACCATGCTGGGGGTAGTTTTTCTCCCAAAATCCCCTCTTATATCTTGTCTGCTGGGCTGAGCTTAAAACAACCAAGTGAATCCAGCATGGTCCTGCAGTTGTCCACAAAAATCCACCACAAGCCAGGTCCCTCTTTGACGTCATCAGGAGCCTACTGTCTCTTCTGAATCCTAAAAGCCAGCCCAAGGTGATGCTCCACAGACATGTGCTGTTTGTGTTCTACATAGCCCCAAAGCCTCTCAAGATAGACGACGTGAGTATCCCAAGGACGCTTTTGGCAGGTGGACATTATTCTCGCCTACGAAAGAAAGGTGGAATCACAGACTTCACTTCCCTGAACGTTAAAATAGTTTTTTGTGATTCTGTGGTTTCCCTTGGGGTGTTAATTCATTAATGAATTTCCACCCCATGGGAAACCACCAAGTCACAAAGAACTATCATTGTTCAGGAAAGTGTAGTCTGCGCTTCTGCCTTTCTTGCTTAGGTGAGAATGATGTCCCCCTGTCCAAAGCTTCTCTGGGATACTTGCGTTGCCTATCTTAGGAGGCCTAGGGCACTTTAATGAATTTCTGTGGGAAAGTAGAAACAAAAGTGGGTCTGCTTTACCCTACACCAAAAAACTACGGCCACAAAGAAAAAAAAAATTAAAAATAAAAAAACACCCCACAAAACATTTATTTACAAAAAGAATGCGAGTCATAGACAAGACAACTATACCACCCAACAAGACATCACATACCTTCAAAAACAACTATACCACCCAACAAGACATCACGCACCTTCAAGACAACTATATCACTCAACAAGACATCACATACCTTCAAAACAACTATACCACCAACCCAACAAGACATCACGCACCTTCAAGACAACTATACCACCCAACAAGACATCACGTACCTTCAAGACAACTAAATTGACTATACCACCCAACAAGACATCACGCACCTTCAAGACAACTATCACTCAACAAGACATCACATACCTTCAAAACAACTATACCACCCAACAAGACATCACGTACCTTCAAGACAACTATACCACCCAACAAGACATCACATACCTTCAAGACAACTATACCACCCAACAAGACATCACATACCTTCAAGACAACTATACCACCCAACAAGACATCACGTACCTTCAAGACAACTATACCACCCAACAAGACATCACATACCTTCAAGACAACTATACCACCCAACAAGACATCACGTACCTTCAAGACAACTATACCACCCAACAAGACAACTATACCACCCAACAAGACAAACTATACCACCCAACAAGACATCACGTACCTTCAAGACAACTATACCACCCAACAAGACATCACGTACCTTCAAGACAACTATACCACCCAAGAAGACATCACGTACCTCAGCCGTTCAATTGCAAGACTGCAAACTCAAGCAGCTACTATACAAGTGCAAGAGTATACAAGTGCACTACCATCCATATGACACTCCAACAAACAGGTTATATTCAACACCACTCTGCAGCTTTTAAACCCCATGCGTGACCACGGTCTGCAAGCCTACATACTACAAGATAGAGATATTAGGTTGCCATCTACAAAATGAAGCTCAATCTGTGTTGGTAGGGCAACTGGCCCAACTAAGACATTGCACATTCAGACAAGAACACAAAAACGACATTGGCCACACAACAGTCATTAACACCTCTGTGCACAAATCACATAAAACAAGATCCTTACCAAAGCATGGCGAATGCTTTCCTGGGCATAGGGCGGCTGAGGATAGGGCACATTCCTCAGGAGGTCACCATGAGGAGGCTTGCTTTGTATAGGACGACCTGAGATAAGAATTTGCAACAGTGGCTGGTAAGGACTTCTGTACCCACTGGAAGACATTTTGTTCTTTTGTAAAGTAACACAGTGGGTTCTTTTTCAGACTAAAATATTAATGTTCCTACTAGAGTAGATAATGAAGAAATGTAATCTATTCAGGTGTCCTTGAGGAAGGTTATGTACCAACAATAAGAGGAGACAAAGTTTTCCTCACACTAGAGGAGTCGACACAGATGAAGACAATTACATTTGAGAAAAAAAAAAAGGTTTGTAAATAATTTATAATAGCTTTCTACTTTTTCTGCTTACATTTTGACCATCAAACCATGAAATATACAATTCAGCAATCCATGCAATCATGGTTTATGAAGTATAGGGCTCCATACAGAATAGACAGGTTTACATATTTAGCAGACAGCATTGCTATCCAACAGTAATGTTCTTCTAACTTTAATTGTTTGGAGACTGTTGGAACCAAAGTCAGGCCCATCGGTAGTTTTTTCTAGCTCTCCTCATCTCCAGTTCAGCCCCCCCCAGTCAAAATATATATATAAAAAATAATTTACCCATTTCTCAATAGTGCCAGCTGCCACCTAATGCTGGCCATCGATGAACAGAACTTCAAATGAAAATTCTCAGAACATTTGTATGTCGTCCGAAAGACTTTGCTTTTAACATTTGATTTTGGAATGAATGGACTTTACCAAACTAAATCCACATACACTGTTAGAAATTTGTTCGTTCGAAAAAAAAAAAAAAATTCCATCCAGCTCCTTTGAATTTTTGCATTACTGTGGTCGAATATGAACGCTGATTTGACCCCATTAATGGTTAGAAAAATGAACCTTTCTTAGAACCTTCTTTACCCAAGAATGTTTGAAGTTCTACCCATCTATGGCCAGATTAAGGCTCTCAGTACTTCTACAGGACAAGACGAATGTGCTACAGCAATGTCTATACACAGAGCATGCTCAAAGGCCTACCACCAGAACAAAAATCCTGTCTAAATATCTTCACCCGATATTGTCAAATTTGGCTCTGTGGCAGTGACTACATTGCTGGTTTAAAAGGGTCATGATGTCATAAGAGACTCATGCAAAGTTAAAGACGTTGGCTTCAAATGATACCACCTCCCCTCCAATAGTCCACCCCTGTCTAATCAGATTATACATACCATGGTTTTCCAAAGGTCTTGAGTTTGATCCAGAAGACGTTGGCTTGAAATGATACCACCACCTTTCTAATAGGCCACCCCATCTAATCAAATTATACATACCTGGTTTTCCAAAGGTATTCCGTGGGCTCCAGACGATGTTGGCTTTAAATGATACCACCTCCCTTCCAATAGTCCACCCCGTCTAATCAAATTATACATGCCTTGGTTTTCCAAAGGTCTTGTGGCTGCTCCAGAAGACATTGGTTTGAAATGATACCACCTCCTTTCTAATAGGCCACCCCGTCTAATCAAATCATACATAACTTTTATTCCCCCAAAGGTCTTCTGGCTTCTCCAACATAGGTTCTTCCTCTCCTCCTCAGGTGGTGACAGCGGCTGGTCCTTAGTGAAGCACAGCATAGCGCTAATGTAATGGCATACATGCCGGACCAATCTATGGATGGTCAGGTGCCATACTGCAATCCCCAGTGCGGGAGTCCATGACAGCTTAGGCCCAAAAAATAAATAAATAAATAGAGGGATTGCTGGCCATAAAATGAAAACGTGCCCATTTGTTGACCAAGGTGTATACCTTGAAGTGTAATTTCACCTTTTCAGAAAAACTGAAAAAAGGTGAACACCCTACACCCTCCTGGTCCCCGCAGTACTTACCACCATGGGTGATGAGCTGTCTCAGCCCATGCAGTCCCTGTAGCGGCTCCCCCTTCTTTCTGCAGGACTTCCAGGATAGATCAGAGCGACCGTGAACCCTAGTAAGTTCTATAGCAGTTGTCTCCAAACTGCGCTCTTTGCTTGCCTATATCTGGCCACTGAAACCAACAATGGGGCACTGTGCCTTCCAATGACACCAACTATTTCTCCCACTAACACCAAATATTGAGCATGGTTTACTCCCACTGGGCACAGCCGGTCCCCCGAAAGTCTGAAGGACAGATAACTGGTTAAAGAGACCCTTGTTCTATATGAATGGTGATGATTATATGTATGGAGTAGATATAAGGTACACCACAGTGTTCAGAGTGGAGTATGGTAACAGATACAATTATATACAACACACAAAATGCAGCAGTCTGCAGAGTGTTGGGACATGTCCAGTGCAAGGTACGCAGTGGAGCAGTCAAGGGCAAGTCCCTAACAGCAAAGTATATAACGTAGGGTAGTTCAGAGCATGCCATGTACAGCACAGTGTACAGAGTGGAGTAGTCAAGAGCATGCCACTAACAGCAAAGCATAGTATATAAATTATAATGGTTCGAAGCATGCCACATACAGCTAAGTATACAGAGTAGTTTGGAGCATGCCATATACAGCACAGTGTACAGAGTAGAGCAGTCAAGAGCATGCCGCTAACAGCAAAGTAAAGGAGGTAGAGTAGTTCAGAGCATATCATGTACAGCAAAATGTACAGAGTGGAGCAATCAAGAGAATGTCACTAACAGCAAAGCACAGTATATAAAGTAAAGTAGTTTGGAGCATGCCATGTATAGCACAGTGTACAGAGTTGAGCAGTTTGTAGCATGCCATGTACAGCAAACTATATAGAGTAGTTTGGAGCATGCCATGTACAGCACAGTGTACAGAGTGGAGCAGTCAAGAGCATGCCACTAACAGCAAAGTAAAGGAGGTAGAGTAGTTCAGTTCAGAGCATGCCATGTACAGCATAATGTACAGAGTGGAGCAATCAAGAGAATGCCACTAACAGCAAAGCACAGTATATAAAGTAAAGTAGTTTGGAGCATGCCATGTATAGCACAATGTACTGAGTGGAGCAGTTTGGAGCATGCCATGTATAGCACAATGTACAGAGTGGAGCAGTTTGGAGCATGCCATGTATAGCACAATGTACAGAGTGGAGCAGTTTGGAGCATGCCATGTACAGCAAACTATATAGAGTAGTTTGGAGCATGCCATGTACAGCACAGTGTACAGAGTGGAGCAGTTAAGAGCATGCCACTAACAGCAAAGTATATGAAGCAGAGTAGTTTGGAGTATGTCGTGCACAGCACAATGTGGAGGGATGGTTTAGAGAATGTAACATACAGCACAGCCAGAAGGACACACATTTTCCTATCTTTAGCATTAACATGGAGCGCACTGTGTGCACCTCTTAATATAGAGGGTGTACCTACCTGACATGTTCACTTCCTGAGCTTCTACTTTAATACAACGAAAGGACATTCCTTGTCAAAAAAAAAATACCAGACATCCAACACTGACAAGACCACAAAGAGACATCCACCCAAGTATCATCAAACACTCTACACAATACCTGATAACAAAAAGGAGATCCTTACCAAAGTGGTGATGACCATTTTCCTGGTCGTTATATTGTGGGTGGGGAGGAGGGACATTCCACAAGGGGACTAGAGGAAGACCAATTTCATTGGGATGACCTGAGATGAGAATTTGAAACAAGTTGCTGGTTATGACAAGATATCAAGATATATAGACCATTCCCACCGAAGGCCATTTGGTTCTTGGTTGAAGAAACATTGGATGTTATTGCAGACTAAAAGGATGACATCATCTTTATACTAGACTAGATTCTGAAGACATGGAGGTCTATTCAGGTCTCCTTGAGGAAGGTTATTTAGAAAAAAATTAGGACAGACAAGGTGTCCTGGCACTTCAGCAGTCAACAAAAGACGAAGAGGGTTATGTAATTATCTTTGTGGGAAGAAAAAAAAAAAGAAAACAAACCCACATGGTTTACAAACAAGGCGAGGACAGGAGAAGGACCTCTTTGGGTGGGATGACCTGAGAGGGGAAGAAAGTGGTGGGTTATGCCAGTATTTTATTCCCACTGGAGGTCATTTTATTTTTGGCCGGAGTAATGTTGTCATCTTCTCAATTAGTCATTCTCACTCAACTAACTAGATGCTGAAGATGTAATCTATTCAGGTCTCCTTGAGGAAGGTTATATATGAACAATGACAGAACAGACATGGTGTCCTGAAACTAAAGCAGTCAACAAAAGACGAAACGGGTTATGTAATTACCTTTGTGGGAAGAAAAAAAAAAAACAAACCTACATGAACACCCTACACCCTCCTGGTCCCCGCAGTACTTACCACCATGGGTGATGAGCTGTCTCAGCCCATGCAGCCACTGTAGCGGCTCACCCTTCTTTCTGTAGGGCCTCTGGGACGGATCAGAGCGACCATGAACCCTAGTAAGTTCTATAGCAGTTGTCTCCAAACTGCGGCTCTTTGCCCGCCTATATCTGGCCAATGAAACCAACAATGGGGCACCATCCCTTCCAATGACACCAACTATTTCTCCCCCGAATACCAAAGATTGGGCATTGTTTACTCCCACTGGGCACAGCCGGTCCCCCGAAAGTCTGAAGGACAGATAACTGGTTAAAGAGACCCTTGTTCTATATGAATGGTGATGATTATATGTATGGAGTAGATATAAGGTACACCACAGTGTTCAGAGTGGAGTATGGTAACAGATACAATTATATACAACACACAAAATGCAGCAGTCTGCAGGGTGTTGGGACATGTCCAGTGCAAGGTATAGAGTGGAGCAGTCAAGAGCAAGTCCCTAACAGCAAAGTATATAATGTAGGGTACTTCAGAGCATGCCATGTACAGCACAGTGTACAGAGTAGAGCAGTCAAGAGCATGCCACTAACAGCAAAGTAAAGGAGGTAGAGTAGTTCAGAGCATGCCATGTACAGCATAATGTACAGAGTGGAGCAATCAAGAGAATGCCACTAACAGCAAAGCACAGTATATAAAGTAAAGTAGTTTGGAGCATGCCATGTACAGCACAGTGTACAGAGTGGAGCAGTTTGGAGCATGCCACTAACAGCAAAGTATATGAAGCAGAGTAGTTTGGAGTATGTCATGCACAGCACAATGTGGAGGGATGGTTTAGAGAATGTAACATACAGCACAGCCAGAAGGACACACATTTTCCTAGCTTTAGCATTAACATGGAGCGCACTGTGTGCACCTCTTAATATAGAGGGTGTACCTACCTGTCATGTTCACTTCCTGAGCTTCTACTTTAATACAACGAAAGGACATCCCTTGTCAAAAAAAATACCAGACATCCAACACTGACAAGACCACAAAAAGACATCCACCCAAGTATCATCAAACACTCTACACACTGATAACAAAAAGGGGATCCTTACCAAAGTGGTGATGACCATTTTCCTGGTCGTTATATAGTGGGTGGGGAGGAGGGACATTCCACAAGGGGACTAGAGGAAGAGGAGGACAAATTTCATTAGGATGACCTGAGATGAGAATTTGAAACAAGTTGCTGGTTATGACAAGATATCAAGATATATAGACCATTCCCACCGAAGGCCATTTGGTTCTTGGTTGAAGAAACATTGGATGTTATTGCAGACTAAAAGGATGACCTCATCTTTATACTAGACTAGATTCTGAAGACATGGAGGTCTATTCAGGTCTCCTTGAGGAAGGTTATTTAGAAAAAAATTAGGACAGACAAGGTGTCCTGGCACTTCAGCAGTCAATAAAAGACGAAGAGGGTTATGTAATTATCTCTGTGGGAAAAAAAAAGAAAGAAAACAAACCCACATGGTTTACAAACAAGGCGAGGACAGGAGAAGGACCTCTTTGGGTGGGATGACCTGAGAGGGGAAGAAGGTGGTGGGTTATGCCAGTATTTTATTCCCACTGGAGGTCATTTTATTTTTGGCCGGAGTAATGTTGTCATCTTCTCAATTAGTCATTCTCACTCAACTAGACTAGATGCTGAAGATGTAATCTATTCAGGTCTCCTTGAGGAAGGTTATATATGAACAATGACAGAACAGACATGGTGTCCTGAAACTAAAGCAGTCAACAAAAGACGAAACGGGTTATGTAATTACCTTTGTGGGAAAAAGAAAAAAAAAAAAAAAAAACCTACATGAACACCCTACACCCTCCTGGTCCCCGCAGTACTTACCACCATGGGTGATGAGCTGTCTCAGCCCATGCAGCCACTGTAGCGGCTCCCCCTTCTTTCTGTAGGGCCTCTGGGACGGATCAGAGCGACCATGAACCCTAGTAAGTTCTATAGCAGTTGTCTCCAAACTGCGGCTCTTTGCCCGCCTATATCTGGCCAATGAAACCAACAATGGGGCACCATCCCTTCCAATGACACCAACTATTTCTCCCCCGAATACCAAAGATTGGGCATTGTTTACTCCCACTGGGCACAGCCGGTCCCCCGAAAGTCTGAAGGACAGATAACTGGTTAAAGAGACCCTTGTTCTATATGAATGGTGATGATTATATGTATGGAGTAGATAAAAGGTACACCACAGTGTTCAGAGTGGAGTATGGTAACAGATACAATTATATACAACACACAAAATGCAGCAGTCTGCAGGGTGTTGGGACATGTCCAGTGCAAGGTATAGAGTGGAGCAGTCAAGAGCAAGTCCCTAACAGCAAAGTATATAATGTAGGGTACTTCAGAGCATGCCATGTACAGCACAGTGTACAGAGTGAAGTAGTCAAGAGCATGCCACTAACAGCAAAGCATAGTATATAAATAATAGTTCAAAGCATGCCACATACAGAAAGGTATATAAAGTAGTTTGGGGCATGCAATATACAGCACAGTGTACAGAGTAGAGCAGTCAAGAGCATGCCACTAACAGCAAAGTAAAGGAGGTAGAGTAGTTCAGAGCATGCCATGTACAGCAAAATGTACAGAGTGGAGCAATCAAGAGAATGTCACTAACAGCAAAGCACAGTATATAAAGTAGAGTAGTTTGGAGCATGCCATGTACAGCACAGTGTACAGAGTGGAGCAGTTTGGAGCATGCCATGTACAGCACAGTGTACAGAGTGGAGCAGTCAAGTGCATGCCATGTACAGCACAGTGTACAGAGTGGAGCAGTCAAGTGCATGCCATGTACAGCACAGTGTACAGAGTGGAGCAGTCAAGTGCATGCCATGTACAGCACAGTACAGAGTGGAGCAGTTTGGAGCATGCCATGTACAGCACAGTGTACAGAGTGGAGCAGTTTGAGCATGCCATGTACAGCACAGTGTACAGAGTGGAGCAGTCAAGTGCATGCCATGTACAGCACAGTGTACAGAGTGGAGCAGTCAAGAGCATGCCACGTACAGTAAACTAATAGAGTTTCAGAGCAAGCCATGTACAGCACAGTGTACAGAGTGGAGCAGTTAAGAGCATGCCAGTAACAGCAAAGTATAGGAAGTAGAGTAGTTTGGAGCATGCCATGTACAGCACAGTGTACAGAGTGGAGCAGTTAAGAGCATGCCGCTAACAGCAAAGTATATGAAGCAGAGTAGTTTGGAGTATGTCATGCACAGCACAATGTGGAGGGATGGTTTAGAGAATGTAACATACAGCACAGCCAGAAAGACACACATTTTCCTATCTTTAGCATAAACACGGAGCGCACTGTGTGCACCTCTTAATATAGAAAGTGTACCTACCTGTCATGTTCATTTCCTGGGCTTCTACTTTAATACAATGAAAGAACATTCATTGTTGTCAAAAAAATACCAGACATCCAACACGGACAAGACCACAAAGAGACATCCACCCAAGTATCATCAAACACTCTACACACGGATAACAAAAAGGAGATCCTTACCAAAGTGGTGATGACCATTTTCCTGGTCGTTATATAGTGGGTGGGGAGGAGGGAGATTCCACAAGGGGACTAGAGGAAGAGGAGGACAAATTTCATTAGGATGACCTGAGATGAGAATTTGAAACAAGTGGCTGGTTATGACAAGATATCAAGATATATAGACCATTCCCACCGGAGGCCATTTGGTTCTTGTTGAAGAAACATTGGATGTTATTGCAGACTAAAAGGATGACATCATCTTTATACTAGACTAGATTCTGAAGACATGGAGGTCTATTCAGGTCTCCGTGAGGAAGGTTACTTAGAAGAAAATAGGACAGACAAGGTGTCCTGGCACTTCAGCAGTCAACAAAAGACAGAGAGGGTTATGTAATTATCTTTGTGGAAAGAAAAAAAAATGACCTCCCACTGGAGGTCATTTTATTTTTGGATGGAGTAACGTTGTCATCTTCTCAACTAGTCATTCTCACTCAACTAGACTAGATGCTGAAGATGTAATCTATTCAGGTCTCCTTAAGGAAGGTTCTATACGAACAATGACAGAACAGACATGGTGTCCTGAAACTACAGGAAGTGACCCAAAGATGGTGGTTTCATAAAAGCTGCGGATCCAGGGTCTGAAAATACATGGTTAATAATCCTAATTTATAAAATATTATTCGTATACGCACTGTAAAATCCTTTGCTTGCAGTCCATTGATGGACACAAGAAGTTTTAAAACCTTCAGCTTCTAGCTTCACCTATAGATTGGGCACCTGTAAACAAAAAAAACTGTAGGCCAGCTCAGGGTGTAACCCCTTCCTACTACTAGCATGCTTCAGTTGTGTAGGAGAGGAGCATTGAGAGGAGCATTATCAAATATGGAAGGGTGGGTCCCGTGTCCCTCAAAGGAGAAAAGAATTTTACAGTTGATACAAAAATCCCATCTTCTAGTACACTGAGGGACACAGTAGTCGTAAATCTTCAGGGTTTACAAAAGCATGTATTGAGGGTTGGGCACCACAGAAAACAACTGCTTAAAGGCCCAATAACTACTGGAAACTGCTTGCAACTCAAAGGGCCACCCTAAGGACACCCTAAGAAGGTATTTAAGAGGCAGAAGTGTTGCCTGCCTGGTAGATCTTAAAGAACATGTAAACAGAACACCAGGGTTGGACTGGGGGGACCATATTGGAGACACAGGAGTCTCAGAAACCAAAATAGAAAGAGCAGATACCTGGCCCTTGATGGCACCAAGAGCCAAACGTTAGCAAAAACTCAACTGCAGAAAAGAGGGACACTGAAACTGGAGGCCAGGAGGTCTAGTAACCTCCACCTGCAACAGATTCTGGAACCCCTCTGGGTGCACAGACCACTCCCCCAAGTACAGACATTGCCTTCTGAGGAAATAGGTTTCCAATTCGTCTACAACACAAGTGTAAACAGCTGACCGGGCTGGAACCAGAAGTTCCACCCAGGACAGGATCCTGTCAACCGCTCTTGCCACAGTGAGACTTCTTGTTCCTCAATTGATGTACGCCACCAAAACATTGTGCGCGTAGGTTAGTCCAATGATAAAGGGACAGCAAGAAAGCTTGAAGTTAAGTTTCTGATGAGGAGGTGATTCCAACAACCAAGACCCCTGGCACCGACAAGGCGGCCAAGACCACCCCTTCCCCCCTCCACCAGTCTGGAAAGCACCCACACAGAACCCAGTGTCAAAGGTCACTTTCAGGCTCACCCCACAATGTCCAGGCGGGTCAGATGTGGCACTGTCCAAAAACTAGGCTTAAGATGACCAATTCAGAAACCTGCAAGTTGGTGAGGAAAACACCAGCAGCGTGTAGATAATCTTGACTGTAGTAAAAATAAATAAATAAAAAAAAGGTAATGTCCTATAGTTTGTTTGCCAGTGTCTAATCTTGTTGGAGTATAATAGAAGATTTAGGAATTTGTGTGTCCTTCAATAAACAAGAAAGAAACTGTCTCTTCACATTTTTAATCGCACCCATTGGAACATGAAATACAAGCTTTTGTCTACACCAATTTATCTACATATTATTATACAGTATTTATAAAGCGCCGATAGTTCGCTCAGCGCTGTACATTACAAAGGGGGACAGAACATGTGACAGAACAATACCAATACAATGCAAAACATGAGGGGATTGAGGGCCCTGCTCCTTGGAGCTTACAATATAGGAGGGAGGAGATGGTGGCACAGGAGGAGATAGCTGTGGGGATGGAGTGGTAGGAAGAGTGGAGGAGGTCGGCAAGTTAGCAGGGGGTGGGGTAGGCTTCCCTGAAGAGATGGGTTTTCAGGGTGCACCTAAAGGAGACGAGAGTAGGTGATAATCTGATGGGTTGGGGCAGGGAGTTCCAGAGGATGGGTGACACCCTGGAGAAGTCCTGGAGGCGGGCATGGGAGGAGGAGACCAGGGAACTAGAGAGAAGGAGGTCTTGTGAGGAGCGGAGTGTGCGTGTTGGGCGCTACTTGGATATTAGGTCACTGATGTCGTTCGGGGCAGTATGGTGGACAGCTTTGTACGTCACTGTTAGGATTTTGAATTTGATCCATTGCGCAATCGGAAGCCAGTGGAGGGATTGGCAGAGGGGGGTGTAGGACACTGAATGGAGGCCAGTGGAGGGATTGGCAGAGGGGGGTGGCGGAAACGGAGCGGTTGGAAAGGTGGATGAGTCTGGCAGCCGTATTCAGGATGGACTGAAGCGGGGATAGCCAGCGGCGAGGCAGGCCAGTGAGGAGGGAGTTGCAGTAGTTGAGTCGTGATATGATGAGGGAGTGGATGAGCTGTTTAGTGGTTTCTGGGGTTAGGAATGTGCGGATTTTGGCGATGTTGCGGAGGTGGAGTCTGCACGAGTTTGTTAAAGATTGGACTTGGGGCTGGAAGGATAGGTTGGAGTCCAGAATGACACCAAGTACTCTGGCCTGTGGGGCGGGTTTGATGGTGGCATTGTTGGATGTGATGGAGAAGTCAATGGGGGGTGGTGTCCAGGCTGGGGGGAAGACAAGAAACTCGGTTTTGGAGAGGTTCAGTTTAAGGAAGTGGAGCGACATCCAGTCTGATATGTCGCTCAGTAGGTGTGTGATTCGGGCGGAGACTGAAGGGGTGAGGTGGGGGGTTGAGAGATAGATTTGTGTGTCGTCGGCATAGTGGTGGTAGTTGAAGCCGTGAGAGTGTATGAGTTGACCAAGGGAGGAGGTGTACATGGAGAAGAGAAGGGGCCCCAAGGACAGAGCCTTGAGGGACCCCAACAGAGAGGGGGAGTGAGGGGGAGGTGGTAGCATTATAGGTAATGCTGAAGGAGCGTTGTGACAGGTAGGATGAGAGCCAGGAGAGAGCGGAATCTCTGAGGCCGAGGGAGTGTAGTTTTTTGAGGAGGAGGGGGTGGTCAACTGTGTCGAAGGCCGCAGAGAGGTCATAAAGAAATTCTCATGATATCTAAAACATGTCTGAGGGAACAAAGATCTTCACCAGTATACCACATCACAACCAACAGAAAATGATCAAATCTGGAGAGATACTCATTTTTTTATTCTCATAGAGCAAGGGTCTCCAAACTACAGCCCGCAAGTCCTATCCGGCCACCTACAAGATTTTATCTTGCCCTCAGTGGCGTATCCTCAATGTACAGAGATTAAGTAAGGTCAGCAGAGGCTTCTACCATCTGGGTCTTAAAAAACAATGATGTGCTTACCCCAGCAAGGGTACACGTTACCCAAGGGGGGGGGGGGGTGTGATTTCTCCACTGGAGGACCTGCCGTAGGGGGGGGGCACGCCAAAACAGAGAGCCTGATGTAAGGGTGATTCATTCATTTATAAAAAACGATTTTCTTTATGGCTCAGAAATATTTGTAGAATATAAAATGTGGCCCTCGTCCTGAAAAGTTTGGAGACCCCATAAAAATTCAGATACGTCAAACCTCCAACAATCCACGCTGGGTTCCCAGTACCCTACAGACTGGGCAACTTCCAACACACTCACGGGAACCTAAAAAGACATTATATATATATACACACACACACACACAGTGCTAAAAAAATAAATAAAAAAAAAATGAAAGGAAGACTCTGAAAACCCATCAGATCTCAATGGGGACAAATCTCCTGCTGGATCTCTATACTGACATGGACGGGGGATGGGTGAGGAATGTAAGGACGCCCCATCATTTGATGGAAATGATCGACCTACAGAGGACTGAATTCAAATACACCCCGAAAATCAAAGTGAAAAAATGATGCAGCAGGCAAGTCCATTGTGCTGAAATGTCATTGCAGCAACTCAGAATGGTCCTCAGTAGTCTGTGTGGCCCCCACGTGCTTGTATGCATGTCTGACAACGTCGGGGGAAGCTCCTAATGAGACCACGGATGGTGTTCTGGGGGATTTCCTCCCAGATCTGGACCAGGGAATCACTGAGCTCCTGGACAGTCTGAGGTACAACCTGGCGATGTTGGATGGACCGAAACATGACATCCCTGAGGTGTTCTATTGGATTTAGGTCAGGCCAGCATGGGGGCCATTCAATGGTATCAATTCCTTCATCCTCCAGGAACTGCCTGCATACTCTACCCACATGAGGCCGGGCATTGTCGTGTACCAGGAGGAACGCAGGACCCACTGCGCCAGGAGGAACCCAGGACCCACTGCGCCAGGAGGAACCCAGGACCCACTGCGCCAGGAGGAACCCAGGACCCACTGCGCCAGGAGGAACCCAGGACCCACTGCGCCAGGAGGAACCCAGGACCCACTGCACCAGCGTAGGGTCTGACAATGGGTCCAAGGATTTCATCCCGATACCTAATGGCAGTCAGGGTGCCATTGTCTAGCCTGCAGAGGTCTGTGTGTCCCTCCATGGATATCCCTCCTCAGACCATCACTGACCCACCACCAAAACGGTCATGTTGAACCATGTTACAGGCAGCAGAACGTTCTCCACGGCTTCTCCAGACCCTTTCACGTCTGTCACATGTTCTCAGGGGGAACCTGCTCTCATCTGTGAAAAGCACAGGGTGCCAGTGGTGGACCTGCCAATTCTGGGGTTCAATGGCAAATGCAAATTGAGCTCTATGGTGCCGAGCAGTGAGCACAGTGCCCACTAGAGGACGTCTGGCCCTCAGGCCACCCCCTGAAGTCTGTTTCTGATTGTTTGGTCAGAGACATTCACAGCAGTGGCCTGCTGGAGGTCATTTTGTAGGGCTCTGGCAGTGCTCACCCTGTTCCTCCTTGCACAAAGGAGCAGATACCGGTCCTGCTGATGGGTTAAGGACCCCTTATGGCCCTGTCCAGCTCTCCTGGAGTAACTGCCTGGAATCACCTCCATGCTCTTGAGACTGTGCTGGGAGACACAGCCAACCTTCTGGCAATGGCACATATTGATGTGCCATCCTGAAGGAGTTGGACTGCCTGTGCAACCTCTGTAGGGTCCAGGTATGGCCTCTTGTTACCAGTAGTGACACTGACCCTAGCCAAATGCAAAAGTAGTGAAAAAAAGTCAGAAAAGATGAGTAGGGAAACAAATGTCAGTGGCCTCCACCTGTAAATCTATTCCTGTTTTGGGAGTCGTCTCATTCTTGCCCACCTAGTGCACCCTGTTAATTTCATGAACACCAAAGCAGCTGAAACTGATGAAAATCCCCCTCTGCTACTTATCTGATCGGATCAATATCCCAGGAGTTTCGTTGACCTGATGTTAGAAAGTCTTTCCTTTCATTTTTTTGAGCACACACACCTTTCCCACGCACCCATCTACAGTTAGGCCTTCTCCAGCTAAAATACAGTGAGGAAATTATTTGATCCCCTGCAGATTTTGTAACTTTGCCCACTTACAAAGAAATGAAGGGTCTATAATTTTTTATCATAGCTGTATTTTAAAAGGAGAGAGACAGAATATCAACCAGAAATTCACAAAACACACACGGTACAAATGTTATAAACAGAGTTGCAGTTCAGGGAGTAAAATAAGTATTTGATCCCCAAACAAAACCTGACTACTTGGTGAGCACAGAGGTGAGACGTTCCTTGTAGTTGGTGGAGGAACCCTTGTTGGCGAGCACAGAGAGGAGAGGTTTCTTGTAGTTGGTGAAGGAACCCTTTTTTGGCGAGCACAGAGGTGAGACGTTCCTTGTAGTTGGTGGAGGAACCCTTTTTTGGCGAGCACAGAGGTGAGACGTTCCTTGTAGTTGGTGGAGGAACCCTTGTTGGCGAGCACAGAGAGGAGACGTTTCTTGTAGTTGGTGGAGGAACCCTTGTTGGCGAGCACAGAGGTGAGACGTTTCTTGTAGTTGGTGGAGGAACCCTTGTTGGCGAGCACAGAGAGGAGACGCTTCTTGTAGATGGTTCCCAGGTTTGCAGACATCTCAGGAGGGATTTTGGTCCACTCTTCTTTACAGATCTTCTCTAAATCCTTAAGCTTTCCCGGCTGTTTTGTAACTCGAATTTTCTGTAGGATTATAGTCTGGAGACTGGCTAGGCCACTCCAGGACCTTAATGTGTTTCTTCTTGAGCCGTTTCTTTGTTGCCTTGGCCGTGTGTTTTGGGTCATTGTCATGCTGGTAGACCCATCCACGACCCATCTTCTGTGTTCTCGTTGAGGGAAGAAGGTTCTCACCCAAGACTTCACAATACATGGCCCCTCAATGAGGCAAAGTCGATCTGTACCTTTAGCACAGAAACGACCCCAAAGCATAATGTTTCCACCTCCATGCTTGACTGTAGGGATGGCGTTCTTAGTGTCATAGTCAGCATTTTTTCTTCCTCCAAACACGGCGAGTTAATGCCAAAGAGCTCAATATTGGTCTCTTGTGACCACAGCACTTTCTTCCAATCCTTCTCTGAATCATTTAGATGCTCATTGGCAAACTTCAGGGGGGGGGGGGGGGGGGGGGGGGGACCTGTACATGTGCCCTTCCAGGAGGGGGACCTTGCGGGTGCAGAAGGATTTCAATCCATGGTGGCGTATTGTGTTACCAATGGATTGTTTGGTGACTGTGGACAAAACTGCCTGGAGATCATTGACAAGCTCCTCCCGTGTAGTTCTGGCCTGATCCCTCACTTTCCTCATGATCATCCTTACCCCATGCGGTGAAGTCTTGCATGGAGCTCCAGACCGAGGGAGATTGATGGTTATTTTGTATTTTTCCATTTGCCAATAATCGCTCCAACAGTTCTCTCCTTCTCACCAAGCTTCTTGCTGATGGTCTTGTAGCCCATTCCAGCCTTGTGCAGGTCTACAATCTTGGCCCTGACGTCCATTGACAGCTCATTGGTCTTGCCCATGGTGGAGAGGTTTGCATAGAAGAAAGATTCTGTGGACAGGCGTCTTTTATACACATAATGAGTTGTCGTTAGGAGGACCTTCTTACATTGACAGGACTAATCTGTGCACCACATGAGCCCATCGCCAGTCTGTGGGAGCCAGAATTGTTGGTTGGTAGGGGATCAAACACTTATTTCACTCACTGAACTGCAACTCCATTTATAACATTTGTATTGTGTTTTTTTTTCTGGATTTTGGTTGATATTCTGTCTATCATTTAAAATACACCTATGATAAAAATTATAGACCCTTCATTTCTTTGTAAGTGGGCAAACTTACAAAAATTATTATTTTCCCCACTGTATATATTTTGTACTTTGATGTTAAATATTTCACAATGTGGGCGTGTCCTGTGCCCGGCGACACCATCACCTGCAGTGGCTTTCAGTACTTTTTAGGACAAGACCAACTAAGAATGGAGCTGGAACAACAAAGACTTCACCAAAATACTTTCATGGCGTCACCGAACCTGAAGCAGTGACTACACTGCTGGATTAAAAAGGTTGTAAACATACAAGAGACTCAGGTAGAGTTAGGTGAATTTGTGGATCTAGAATTATTCACAAAGATTCACTTTAAAGAATCGCTAGTAAGTGTTGCCCGTTCATTGGCCAGAATATGGAAGTCTTAGAGGTGTGAACAGTTCATAGATGAAAAAATGGTGATGAATACTGAGGATTGTGGAGATGAGTGATGATTGTGGAGATGAGTGATGATTGTGGCGATTAGCCAGGATTGTGGAGATGAGCGATGATTGTGGAGATGAGCGATGATTGTGGAGATGAGCGATGATTGTGGAGATGAGCGATGATTGTGGAGATTAGTGATGATTGTGGAGATTAGTGATGATTGTGGAAATTAGTGATGATTAGCGATGATCGTGATTAGTGATGATTGTGGAGATTAGTGATGATTGTGGAGATGAGCGATGATTGTGGAGATGAGCGATGATTGTGGAGATTAGTGATGATTGTGATGATTAGCGAGGATTGTGGAGATGAGTGATGATTGTGGAGATTAGCGATGATTGTGGAGATTAGCGAGGATTGTGGAGATTAGCGAGGATTGTGGAGATGAGCGATGATTGTGGAGATGAGCGATGATTGTGGAGATGAGCGATGATTGTGGAGATGAGCGATGATTGTGGAGATTAGTGATGATGTGGAGAAATTAGTGATGATTGTGATGATTAGCGATGATCGTGATTAGTGATGATTGTGGAGATTAGTGATGATTGTGGAGATTAGTGATGATGTGGTGGATTAGTGATGATTGTGTGATTAGCAATGATTGTGGAGATTAGTGATGATTGTGATTAGTGATGATTGTGATGATTAGCGATGATTGTGATTAGTGATGATTGTGATTAGCGATGATTGTGATTAGCGATGATTGTGATTAGCGATGATTGTGATTAGCGATGATTGTGATTAGCGATGTGTGATTAGTGATGATTGTGGAGATTAGTGATGATTGTGATTAGCGATTATTGTGATTAGTGATGATTGTGATTAGCGATGATTGTGATTAGTGATGATTGTGGAGATTAGTGATGATTGTGATTAGCGATTATTGTGATTAGCGATGATTGTGATTAGCGATGATTGTGGAGATTAGCGATGATTGTGATTAGTGATGATTGTGGAGATTAGTGATGATTGTGATTAGCGATTATTGATTGTGTGATGATTGTGATTAGCGATCATTGTGATTAGCGATGATTGTGATTAGCGATGATTGTGATTAGCGATGATTGTGATTAGCGATGATTGTGGAGATTAGCGATGATTGTGATTAGTGATGATTGTGATGATTAGCGATGATTGTGGAGATTAGTGATGATTGTGATTAGCGATGATTGTGATTAGCGATGATTGTGATTAGCGATGATTGTGATTAGCGATGATTGTGATTAGCGATGATTGTGATTAGCGATGATTGTGATTAGCGATGATTGTGGAGATTAGCGATGATTGTGATTAGCGATGATTGTGATTAGCGATGATTGTGATTAGCGATGATTGTGATTAGTGATGATTGTGATGAGTGATGATTGTGAGATTAGTGATGATTGTGATTAGCGATGATTGTGATTAGCGATGATTGTGATTAGCGATGATTGTGATTAGCGATGATTGTGGAGATTAGCGATGATTGTGATTAGTGATGATTGTGGAGATTAGTGATGATTGTGATTAGTGATGATTGTGATTAGTGATGATTGTGATTAGCGATTATTGTGATTAGCGATGATCGTGGAGATGATGTCCATCACAGTGTCCCTGGTGGCGCGGTGATCTGTGTGTCCTATAGCACAGCATACACGGTGTGGCAGTTTGAGGCAAGTCCCGGGTCCCACATGATGTACAAAAGAAAATGTCCCATTCAGCACAATGTATGAAGTGGTGAACACGGTGACTGGGTTGAGAGAATGTCACATACAGCACAGCCAGAATCAGAACATTTCTGTAGCATCATGGAGCTCACTTTCTGCACCTGTAAATCCAGAGGGGGGGGGGGGGGAGGGGTACAGAGAAGAAAAGCCACTTACATTTCACTATGGTTGGCTCAGGGGGCTCCACCCCCCAAGCATCCGCAATATGTGTCATCAGGATCTGGCTATACTTCCGATGGGCCGTCTTGTCCCAGTGGGTGGCGTCTTTACACCTGTTGTGCATGTCGAAGCGGAAGTAGTAGTGCATGTCCAGCACGTCCATTTTGTGCAAGTTGGCCAGAGTGGCGCTGTAGAAATTTCCCTCTACGATATCCCAGCGCAGGTTGTGCTTTGAGTACTGTTATGAAGAATGAACAGTCAGGGGGGGCATTGGTGCAAAACAAAAAAAACAAAAACAACTCCCCCCACAAAAAAAAAAAAAAAAAAAAACACCCCTATTTCCGCAATAAGATCCCGGACAAGCCCCCAACCAGTAAAATCACCTTAAGCATCAGCTATAGAAGTATTGGAAATAGGATTTTAACTGCTTCACCAGATTCTAAATATTTTTTTTCCTCAAGGAAATAAACAATACACATAAATGGACAGTCTTAATTCACTTGTATAACTGCAGAATCTTAGGCTGGCCATACATTATACAATTATCTTCCAATTTTCTGCCCAATTTCCTTCAGATTTACCTTCAACTGCTTAGTGCGAGGGCCGGCCTAATTGGATACAACTGAAAGTGTTGTTTAGGTTTGTCCTCCTATTATATGGTTTTTGGTAAATCTAAACCAAAAATCTCCAGATAATTGTATAATGTATGGCCGGCCTTATTGCAGGTGCATGCCCCATCTTATGTAATCATAACTACTATTAACCTCCCTGGCGGTCTGATGATGTCAGTATTTCTGTGCTCAAAGCGGTACTTTTTTTTTGCATGGAAATATGTTGTTTTATTGTAATATTTAGGAATAACTCACTGAAATCTGTCCGGACAAGAGTCTAGTAAACATCCCGGGGAGGATACAATTTGAAACACGAAATCATAAATTATAATTTAATAAATAATCATAAAAAATAATAATATAATAATAATAATAAATGTAATTCAATAATAAAATCAAACCAAAAAACACTGAAATGTGAAATATAGCGCCAAGTTGGCACATCGCTGAGCTCAGTCGCAGAATCGTTTTCAGTGTCTGATGAGGAATTTCCCCCACCAATCATTATCACTCAATTCTGCAAGTGGTTCTGATTTACTATCGCTGTTCTCTAGCCGGTCTAAAACCGCGTCTGACCTAAAGGGACGCTTTTTGGACGCCATGGACGTTTCTCAGTTTCCAGGCAGAAAGGGCGGTAAAAATGCAGGCAGGGCGCCGGACAAAGCACTCGGGACAAAATGTCTGTGAAATGGTTTGATACAGGAATGGAATACTATCAGATTTTAGTGTATTTAGTGAATGTCACTTTTTCACATTTTAAAATTTCCCGCCAGTTCCGTCCCCCGTACGTCCCGACGTCGCAGGGGACCGAACCCAGAAGACAGATGCCGGCATCGGCCGGAGGACATTGCCGGGGACACTGCAGGAGGGAGATCGCGGGAGCGCAGGGCAAGGTAAGAGAAGAACAGAACCCGAAGCAGCGCCGCATGGTAAGCCCGAGTGTAACTCAGGGGGGGTTACTACTTGTGGTGCTGAAACTTTACCCCGAGCTACACTCGGGAATACCGCCAGGGGGGTGAAGATATGTAGACCATATACAACTCTCTTCCTAAAAATTGAGCTTAGGCCGATCCCACCACATTCATGTAAACTGAATAAAAATTCCTATTTACCCCTTATGAGAAACAAAATTTTAGAATGGTTGTAGAGGCTCATTCTATGCATGATGGTAAAAACCCTTCTCTGTGCAGCACAACCCCCAACCCCCCCCCTCCAATGCTCACCCAAGCCCACTCTCGATCCAGTGATCTGCACCAGAGTCTCGGCTATCCCAAGACTCCCTCTCCTCATTGGGCTAGACAGCAGTGGGAGCATGGGCTCCCACCACGGTCAATCGTGGCCAGTGAGCCAATGAGAAAAGAGAGAGGGTGGGGCTGAGACACGGCTCGGTGAATGGACACACAGAGCTACAGGTGCCCCCATAGCAAGCTGCATGCTGTGGGGGCACCTGACAGGAGGGAGGAGCCAGAAGCACCGGCGGGGGACCCGAGAAGACAAGGATCGGTGCTGCTCTGTGCAAAACCACCGCACACAGCAGGCAAGTATAACAGGTTTGTAATTTTTAGAGAAAAAAAATATTTAAGCCTTTAGTATCATTTTCAAAGATGATTTACAATGGATGTCACTGTTCTGCCCCCCGGCTTTCAAGTATTGTATTGAAATGTATCAGACTGTGTTGTATTGAAATGTATCAGACTGTGTTGTATTGAAATGTATCAGACTGTGTTGTATTGAAATGTATCAGACTGTGTTGTATTGAAATGTATCAGACTGTGTTGTATTGAAATGTATCAGACTGTGTTGTATTGAAATGTATCAGACTGTGTTGTATTGAAATGTATCAGATTATTCTTGTTCAGTAGTATGTGGACATATAGTGATGGTTTTGGGTCACTACAACTTGCTCACTAATGGGATTTTGGTATTAGTCCTCTCCTTTGTTCAGTCCCAGCTGGACCCTCCCGGTTCCTTCCATGTTCCCTCAGTCAATGTTCGTTATTTACAGAGACAGGGCTTAGGAAAGTCATTGTCTTCTTACACTTCAAATGACTGGAAAAATATCCTTTGTACTGCACTTTTGTGTAGTGAAGTTGTGTTGGATTCAACTCGTGTGTCTAAATAAAAGAGTTAAGCTGCCTGTGGACGATGCCAAGCCAGCAGGTGACCATACTGTCCAGACTGGGTCTATGGAGGCATGGTAATGGCGAAACCTATACCGGCATCTGAAAACGAAAATGCACCTTGTACACACAACTGCCAAAGCGTTTCTGCCTACGCAGTCTTAGCCATAGCTAGCTGCTAAACAGAGGTCCATAATAGGCCCAATATATAACGGGGGGGGAGGTGTGTGAAAATAAACAATATAAGAATTTTAAATATAATCCGACATACCCTGAATTTAGAGGAGGACTCCCACTTCAGGCATTTGTCCAATTGATGGCAATAGGAAGGGAGGCTGACAGCGGCCTTTTCCACCTCTGCCTTCCCTTAGGGCTGGTCTCGGGCAAGTGCTTGGGGATGAGACAAGCAGCAGTTATCAAGCGACCTCGTTGCCATTCTTACAAGACATGTAGGAACATGGAGCAAGTACTACATTTATTTCAGATACTTATATAGCGCCGTCAATTTACGCAGCACTTTACATATATATTGTACATTCACATCAGTCCCCGCCCACGAGGAGCGTACAATCTAAGGTCCCTAACTCACATTCATACATACACATACTAGGGACAATTTAGACAGGAGCTTGTCTGGCATTGCCTGCCGAAGGATAAAGTGCATGGGGCAGCACAGCGGCTAAATGGTTAGCACTTCAGCCTGGCAGTACTCGGGTCGTCCGTTCGAATCCCAACCACGGCACCACCTGCCTGGAGTTTGCACGTTCTCCCTGTGCCTGTGTGGGTTTCCTCCGGGTACTCTGGTTTCCTCCCACACTCCAAAGACATGCTGGCAGGTGAATTGGCTCCTGTCTAAAAATTGTCCCTAGTATGTGTATGAATGTGAGTTAGGGACCTTAGATTGTACACTCCTCGGGGGCGGGGACTGATGTGAATGTACAATATATGCCGGACAATCTAAGGTCCCTAACTCACATTCATACACATACTAGGGACAATTTTTAGACAGGAGCCAATTCACCTGCCAGCATGTCTTTGGAGTGTGGGAGGAAACCAGAGTACCCGGAGGAAACCCACACAGGCACAGGGAGAACGTGCAAACTCCAGGCAGGTGGTGCCGTGGTTGGGATTCGAACGGACGACCCGAGTACTGCCAGGCTGAAGTGCTAACCATTTAGCCGCTGTGCTGCCCCATGCACTTTATCCTTCGGCAGGCAATGCCAGACAAGCTCCTGTCTAAATTGTCCCTAGTATGTGTATGTATGAATGTGAGTTAGGGACCTTAGATTGTACGCTCCTCGTGGGCGGGGACTGATGTGAATGTACAATATATATGTAAAGTGCTGCGTAAATTGACGGCGCTATCTAAGTACCTGAAATAAACAGACAATATAGGCAGAATCATGCCAGCAGTTGTGTACAGGGGGAATTTTCAATAAAGGACCATCAGTTCTGGACCGCCAGTAGAATGTTGTGGCTCACTCGTAATGAAAGCCCGAACTGAGCAATTTTCTTCTGCAATGATTTACCTTTTGTCTTCAATTCCTCCTGAAAAATTACCAGAATTTCCCGTACTCCGGCATCCCTGTGCCTGGAGCATCATCGCAGTATATCCGCAGTGTGAGATCTCAGGCGCTGCTGCCTCTGATAGTCTCAGGAGATTTGGAATGAATTTTGGCAAATGTCACTACTGTGCTGCTCACTGTTCCCTGAGAAAAATATTAAAGGATAGGTTCGCTTTTTTTTCTTTTTTAAAGAAAACGCATGTTTTTTGCAGGTTAAAAAAAAATGCATTTAATTTTTTTTTATCCTACACAGCCTGTAGAGCCCTGCACCCACGATCAGCAGACCATGGGTGCAGAGTCAGGCTCCTGCTGTCACTAGAGCGGTCTGCCTGTACCCCCCATACAGGCAGACAGTATGGCATATGGTCTTCACTTCTCCCACCCGGGTCAGAAAGCCAACGATGTGCTTGCCCCAGCAAAGGGGGATTCCGTCGGGGACCCTGATGTAAAGGAGCCGCTGATGGGGTCCGACATATGGGGGAATGCCAAACAGAGACCTTGATGTAGGAAGGGACACCAAATATGATGAAAGGAGGGACCCTGATGGGGGGGGAGCACATTGACAGGGACCCTGACGTAAGGGGGAATGCCGATGGGGATCTTGATGTAAGAGGGGATGCTGACCATGATGAAAAGAGGGACACCGATGGGGACCCTGATGTAAAGGGGGCACCGATGGGGACTCTGACGTAAGGGGGAATGCGGACAGGGACCTTGATGTAGGAAGGGACACCAAATATGATGAAAGGAGGGACCCTGATGTAAGGGGGGAATGCCGATGGGAATCTTTATGCAAGAGGAGACACTGACCATGATGAAAGGAGGGACAGCGATGGGGACCCTGATGTAAGGGGGCCGCTGTTGGGGACCCTGACATATTGGGGAATGCCAACCTCGATGTAGGAAGGGACACCAAATATGATGAATGGAGGGACCCTGATG